AATCCAGATAATTGAATAGTGCAGTTTACTGCAACAGTTAAAACAGTTCCTAAGCTGATTGGAAAAGCATAAAGATAACCATGCTTTGGTTACATGATGGCTAGACAATTATTATATGTTGTTTGGGACTAACCTTGAACAACTTCAAATGGTGTAAAATGATGTTATTACACTGCCAATCGGTATACCATATTATTATCGTATCATATTCTAAATTTTAATCTGAGTGGCCAGTTGCTACCTGGGCTCAATTCAAGGTTGTGGTTTTATCCTTTAAAATCAATAGATAATTTAGAGCAAGACTCTTACTAAATGGATCCAAAGTAATATTAGTGGAAAGCATATATCAGTAACATTATGCAACTTGCTAGATGTTGCATAAATATAAGCAGAACGGCTATCCCATATATAGCATATGCAATGCTTAGCAAAACGAAGGTATAATATATTGTACTTAAAAGAAGTACATGAAGGATCAAGCAGAGATATGGAAAAAGAAGTTTCCTTTACTTTCCCCAAACCAGGAAAAATGGAACATATAATACTTCCTAATCTTTTATTTCTAAAAAAGAAAGAAATAGAATAAGAGAAGCATGTATCTATATAGCCTTGGGGTTTTTTGCCACCTCTTTTTCCCTGAAATTAGTGAAGGACAAAGTTCAGAATAGCATGTTTCACAATAGATTTCGGTATCCAGCAACAACTTTTGCTTTTCTGCTTCTCCTAAAAAGCCAAAAATAGATAAGCTCTATTCCTTAGACTTTAGCAGAACTTCCATTTACAACAAAACTAGGAGCATGTTTTAAATAAATGTATACAGTACATGTCTAAATAAACAATACAGTTTTAAAACTAACGCTTTCTAGAGCAAAAATAAATATTTTATAAAATAATAAAACTACCGTATTATACAACTACAAAAGGCAAACGCATTCATAGAAACCAAGTTCTCATCAAACTCACTAAATTAATATCACAATGCAAACTCTATCCTTAACTGTATGCACATGATGTACAAAATGTGCAACACAACCTCACTATATTTGCCAATATATATATAGTAATTCCCAAATCCTTTATTGTGGCCCCAAGCCTCAGGGAAATATTGCTTCAAAATTTCCAGAAATTAAACATCTCTAGCATAAAGGGTTTTAACAAGTAATCCAGATTGTGGATTTCATGCTACTTTTAGCTATCATTTTATGTCATTTGTATGAAAATCATCATTTATTATTTATACCAGGCTAATCTTACACTGGGCACTACAAAAATATAAAAAAAAAACCAATGTTTTCTCAAAATTCTAATGCCCCTCCACAGTCAACATTTAAAAGAGTTTTTCTGTACCATTCCGACATGAATGACTGTTTTCATGTATCCTCTACTATTCCTATTATTAAACTAGCCTTGACAAAGATATGGCTTTGCCCATCTTAAGCAAAATAATACAAGGAAGGAAACCTGAAGGAAACCTAAATGTTAACATGAAAAAAAAAATGACACCAAGGAGACTTGAGGGGAGATAAACCACAATAAGGGGATAAGGGGGAATATCATTTACAGATCCCTTGCCCACATGTCTTTGAATTTGGAATTCTGCTTTTTATATAGGTGGTTCTCAACTTACGACAACAATTGGGACCAGAACTTCTGTTGCCAAATAATGTGGTAATAAACCATAACCACATGACAATCCCTTCAGAACTGGTTGCCATTATTAACTGAATCCCACAGTGGTTAGGCAAGGCAACTTCCTGCTGGATTTCCAACAAGTTAAGTCAGTGGGAAGCCAGCAGGAAGTTTCAAATTCCAGGCTGGCAGGCAGATAAGTAGCTGCTGCCAGGTGGGAGGGAATGGAGGGAGGGGCAGGGTTGCAGGAGAGGTTCAGGGAGTATGTGTGGAGGATGCACAAGAGGTCAATGCAAGGCAAGAGGCTGGGGAGAGCATTCAGGTGGTGGAGACTTACCCCAGTGACTTGCAATCTTCCCTGCTGACTCCCCCACTGATTTTCTGGGGAAGCTGGTACAGAAGGTTAAAAATGGTGATCAAGTGACTACAGAGTGCTTGGCAACTGGTCATAAATGCAAATGGGTTGCCAAGCGTCAAGATTTATGAGAAATATTAGTATCGCTTTATAAAACCTTGTAAAACCATATCTGGAATACTGCAGTGAGTTTTGGTCACCACATTATAAAAAAGATGTTAAGACTTTGGCAAGAGTGCAGAAAAGAGCAACAAAGATGATTAGTGGCCCAGAGAGTAAACAAGGGTCCCCATCCCCTTGGTTGCAACCTACTACTGGGCCTTGAGCCTGTTGGAATCAGGCCACAAAAGTAGCAGGCGAGAGCACGCGGGCACATCCCCACTTGTGTGAGCAGTAGGCAAGTGTGTGATTGCCCCATTGCTTGTGCAAAACCATCCCCTCCCCCCCCCCCCCGCTGCTCCACAAAGCTGGAAAGGTTGAAGAACTCTGAACTAAAACATGTGAAGAACGGTTGCAGGAATTGGGTATGTGTAGTCTGGTGAAAAGAAGGACTGAGGGTGACATGATAGCAGTGTTCCAATATTTGAGGGGCTGTCATAAAGAGGATGGGGTTGACCTATTTTCCAAAGCACCTGAAGGCAGAACAAGAAAAACAGCGATGGAAATCAAGGAAAGACGCAACCTAGAACTAAGGAGAAGTCTGCTAACAGTGAGAACGGCTTGACTTCAGAAGTTGTGGGTGCTTCATCACTGGATGCTTTTAAGAAGAGATCGGGTAGTCACTTGTCTGAAATGGTAAAGCTTGAGTAGGAGGTTGGACTAAAAGATCTCCAAGGTCCCTTCCAACTCTATTATTCTGTATTCTGTAAGATCAAGATCATATATGATCATAAGGCTGCTGCAACAAGGACTGGTCATAAGTTACTGTTCAGCACTGTCATAACTTTGAACAGTCACTGAACTAATAGTTGTAAGACAGGGACTACCTGTAAACAAAACAAACCTGAACTACTCACATTCATATATTCTTTGAACTAGTCATTTTAAATCCAGCCCTTCTAAACCAAATATTTTCAAATTGTGACGTATACCTCAGTTGGGGAGGGACAGACAGGGTCCAGGGATATTTGATGAACTTTTTTGTTACATTGCTAATTGCTGCAATAATCCATCTTTCTTCAAGTTTCATTATACAGGTAGTCTTTGTTTAACAACCGCTTTGTTTAGCAACCATTCATAGTTATGATAGTGCTGAAAAAGTAAGTTCATAACTGGTTCTACACTTATAAGTGTCACAGCAAACCCACTGTCGTATGATTGAGATTCAAGCACTTCACAACCAGTAGGCATTTATGACTATTGTAGCGTTCCGCGATTATGTGATAGCCATTTGCATGCTTCACAGCTGGATTCTGACAAGCAAAGTCAATGGAGAAGGCGGCAGTAAAATTGCAAGTTGTAGTTACATGATGTCTTACTTAACAACCATGGGTGATTTGTTCAACAACTGCAGGACAAATGAGGTTGTAAGTGCAGCAGGGTCACGTCATGTTTTGCACAACAACATCACTTAGCAACAGAGTTGATGGTCCCTATTGTGGTTCTCCTGTGAAGACTACCTGTATTGTTTTCATTGTTCATTTGTTTTATTCTGGATTTCTAGGGATGTCATGTACATCAAGATTACACCAAAGAGAAGTGTGGTAGCAAGAGCTTTAGGAACCCTGTTCTAATCAGAAATCTGAATCTTAAGATCACACTGAATTTCATTATAACCTAAAACAGGGGTGCCCAATCCCTGGGCCACGATCTAATCCCAGGCCACAGCTTGTTGGTAACTGGGCCACACAAGCCACAGGCGAGCATGCAAAGCTGCATTTGCACATGTGAAACCACCCCCTCTCTCCACCACTGCTGTCAGTCCACAGAGCCGGAAAGGTTGGGGACCGCTGGCCTAAAAGACCACAGTTCCTAAATTATTTCACAAAATTTTAAAAAATCTTTTTATTAAATATTGATATTGCAGTAGGTCTATTTATGCCCTTAAATAAATCTGCAGACTTAACCAGACATTGTTAATACATCAGTGGAAAATATCCAGCTCTCTTTAGAGCAAGCCAGCATGGTAGATGACAAGAAGATCATGGCAGTTGTAATCAAAAAAACATTCAAGGTCACATTGCCCACCCGTCCTAAAAAAGAGGATTCTTCTGACTTGGTAAGTACAGGCAGTCCTCAACTTATGATCGGTCTAGTGACTGCTCAAAGTTACAATGGACTCCCCAGGGCTACATACAACACTGATTTAAAATTCTGACAGCTGGATGCCTCTCCCCGTGGTCACATGATCACACTTGGTGCACTCAGTCTGTACTGTTAGGCATATGCAAAACTCACTGATTAAAGAATGGAACCACACCCAGAACATTCTGATTCTTCCCCCCCCCCAGTGATGTTCACCGAAACCATGCCCTTCTGGGGGCAGTTTAGTACTTTCCAAAAGCAAATTCTCTTGACTGTAAGTTTGCAATATTCTACAGGCAGTCCTCAACTTATAGCCATCCATTTAGTGATGTTCGAATTTACAATTACACTGGAAAAAAGTGACTTATGAACAATTCTCACACTTATGACCATTGCAGACACATCATACAAATTTAAGTGCTTAGCAAATGGCCTATATTTACGATGGTTGCAGCATCCTGGGGGCCTGGGATTGTAATTTACAACCTTCCCAGGGAGCTTCTGACAAGCAAATTAACGGGAGAAGCCAGATTTCCTTAATAACCACATGATTCACTTAACTGTAGTGATTCGCTTAGCAATCATGGCAAAAAGGTCGCAAAATGGGGTGTGACTCACTTAACAACTGCCTTGCTTAGCAATAAAAAAATGGTTTTCAGTTGTAGCCATAAGTCGAGGACTCCCTGTACTCCTGCTTTTTTTAGTTTGTTACTCTAAAACATTTAAGAGCATTATCTAAGAAAAGAAAAGCATTACTAAATAAATTATTTACCTGCTGGTGGCTTTATAAAAGGTGGTGGAATTAATGGTACAATAATGGGTATATTGCCATGTTCCTTTGATCCTGCTGGTGAGTCTGAGATTCCGTTTCCTGTGGTCAGCCCTGGATAGCTTGTGTGTATATTGTATGATGATGTAACACTGTCTTCAGGTAATTTTGTTTTTGGCAAAGAGTTTTCTGTAAAGGAAAAAGAATTAATTTTAAAATGTATTACGGCTTTTGATCAGATACTGTTTATTTATTGTTTGCCAACTTGATTAACAATTGAGTAGGTAATATACACTTATTTAGCCAAAACTATGTCAGGTTTCCAGGATGAACCCAATTTGTACTTTAATATATCAGTAATCTTTCCAAAACTGCACATAACAATAAAGTGCTCAAATAGGAAACATAACTCAGATCTCACATAGACCATAATGAGAGTTTGCAGCTAAACACAATCATAAACTTCATTAATCTTGCCCAATTCTACACTTTCAGAGTGAAGTCCCAAAGCTAAATTGGACAAGATCAACATTTTATAATAACATTATGTAGATAATATTTCTCATTTAAATAGTGAGAAATTAAATAATGTAGGTGCTCTATTTACAACAGTTTAAGATACATGTGGATACATTCAGTATATACTTAAATACTTTAGTATTTAACTTCAATTATGTGTCTTGATAATAACTGCACAAATTATCTTATTAGTATGAAATAGATCTATTTTAACATAATGGTAAAGGTTTACCAAGATAGCTGACAAGCATCAATAAGGAAAAACAATTATTCAGCATTTGTGTTGAGGTAGAACAGTCAACCAAATACTAAGAAACCTGTTTTCACAACTTAGCAAGTACACCAGTGCAATTTTCAAGCCTCCTAATTTGATTCATCCAGTCAGCAGTGATTAAATGCTGTAAAGGGGGAATCAGCATTTCCCAACTTGGGTGACCTTGTGATGTGTGGTCTTCAGCTCCTAAAATTCTGAGCAATGGCCATGCTGACTAGGAAATTCTAGGAGTTGAAGTCCACATATCATTAAGTTGCTCAGGATGAAAAACACTGCTGTTGATAAAACTTTTCATTTTGTTACTTTATTAAAATTAAACTTCTTGGAAATGACATGTATTTGATTCTCTAATATTAAAGAGAACATAGCCTAATATTTAGAGAAGGAAGAAATTTCTATAAGAAGTCCAGGACAGTCGTATTTTGCTAAAACAGTGGTTCTCAACCTGTGGGTAAGGACTCCATTTGGGGTTGAACGACCATTTCACGGGGGTCGCCAAACAAGGCTGTCCGCCATTTTTTCCCCCTTTTCTTTGGCCAGGCCCCTGGCACCCAGTGATGTATAAGTGGTTGGGGGTCACCACAACATGGGGAAATGTATTATGGGGTCGCGGCATTAGAAAGGTTGAGAACCACTGTGCTAAAATGAAGAAGTTGTTTAACAGTAGAGGAATCTGAAAGGGAAATTAAAAAGGCAAATCAAGAAAATAAGGATGATTGGGGGTTTATTCAAAACTACAATAATAGCTCAGATAAAATGCCTACTGCAGGGCAGGAAAAGTGCAACCTAGTGCAAGAGATCAGACGCCTGTATAATGAGTTGTGTCAAGGACAGCTATTAGAGAAGATTTGCCCTAATGGGGAGAAACAAAGGACCCCAATTTATAAAAACAAATCTTTGGAAAAGATTCTGGGCAGCATATTATTCTGCATTAAGATCAGCAATTTACAAATATATCAGAAGGAAAAAAGCTTTATCTCAATCATCTCTGCCCACATGTGCAGAGATGATTGAGATAAAGATATGTAAAGCAAAATTAAATGCAAATAGTTTTTTTATAGTTTCCTTCACTGAGGAAAACACAGAATTATCTGATACTTGAACTGATGTTTCCACAAAGCTGAGTCAGATGAATTGTGGGAAACAGGGACAAGATGAGTTTTAGATCTTAATGACCTTAATGACATGTGAATGACAAGACCTTAATGACAATGTGAAAAGAAACAAATCAGCAGATGTAAAAGCTATATATCTGAGTGTCATATCTGATGCATACATTTCTGGTCTACCATATTACATTGGTAGACCAGCAATGTAATGTTTTGGTTGCATTTTGTTACATTTGTTACAAAATGTTACATTTCTGATCTACAATAAACAAACAAACAGGTCATACTAATATAATAAGGCTATCAGAACTAGATTATAAAATTATGAATGAAAGCATAAATAATTCTAACCAGTATTTATGCAGATTTTTGTAGTCCCAATTTGGAATCTCAGTAAACTTATATTACTAATTTTTTAAAAAATGTTCCTGATAATCATAGGCCTAGCTAGTGTATGTTCTGAATATATTGTGGAAATGTTGAAAAAAGAGCACGCACAAACCATCATCCATTCATATTCTCATATATGTACTTGAAAACCCAAATCTGTCCCACTCTTCTGAACAGATGAAAGATTATCCCATTCCGTATGAAGGAAAACTCAGCAAAAAGATTACACATACACACATGTGCATGCACGTACACACATTCCATTCAAACTCCACATAAACATTTCTGGAAAGAGGCTTTAACTGTCACTCACAATACTCTCTCTCCACTATTAACAGAAACACACAATGAACAATCTTTTCTCTATTTCATACATAATCTCATTGCTAATTATAATATTTTTCAAGTGCTAAAATAGTATCCTGCAAAAATCCAGCACATAGCCTTCTCAGAACTGGTAGTTTTAACAGCTGAACTGGAAGATGCATTAAAAGCACTCTATGATCAATCATAGAATTTGCTCATAGTAGCTACCAAAGTGGTTGGTAATATTCCTAAGGACTGAGTTGTCTATGAACAACTATATTTTAAGAAGAGGCAAGTGGTTAGCAGCAAAATAATTGTTCTAGGATCGTGAGTTGCAACTTAGCACACAGCAATACCAGTTAAGAAACAAGGCAAAGAGCAGTTATAAATATTTTCAGTGAAGGATAATTGTGGTTCATCATACATACTGAACTTAGGTTGGGTTTAATTGTCTGGAGTGTACATAATTCAGGAGTGTGTTAATGCAAACTAAAGTATCAGTCTCCAAATGATTAAAACAGCCACATCTTTTGCAAATCTCATGCAGCTGCTTTAAAGGTCCTCAGCTGTAACTCCATGTATGTTGAGAAAATGTGCTTGACAAGATTGGCAATGTGATCTATAGGCTGGAGCATTCTCTCCTATAAAATTACATTTAGGATGTTTTGGAGGGTCATGGTAGGGTTTATAATAATATTATGCACAATAATTTTATCACAATAATGCAGAATCATATGTGAGGCTGCACTGCTATCAATACAGGAACCAAAAATGGAAAGCATCAAAAGCAAAGTAATTTTGCTCAATTCTCCTTTCAAATTTTATGAACTAACTTCTCCCATAGTCTCAATTCTCCAGGAGATAATAGTCTATTATTTGTTCCAACAAATGTATATATAATTAATAACTAATCAATACAATATTTTACAATAATAATATAAAGGCAATTAAGTAATTAGTTGACAATTAAATATGAAACCATAACATACAGTACATGAATTTAGCACATTATTCAATTCAAAGAGAAAAAGGCAAACAGTTCAAGGAAAAGCACACTGAATTCAAGTGAGGGAAAAATAAAACAGGAATTCAGAAAGTGACAAAGATTTCAAGCAGTTGCTCATCCTATTTTTCAGCAATATCTTGCCCCAACAAAGGCAGACAGAATTTTGGAGCTTTCCTGCCATAAAAAAAGAGAAAGAGAATTTGACAAGCGGTAATGTTTACATACACTAAGAGGAAGTACCTTTTTCACAAAAATTGCTTCACTTGCTAATGGGAAATAAATACAGTATATTGTTTTGGAATATATATATTCCAAATCTATAAATATTAAAAAAAATCTGGTGCCTAAGGATAAACAGTAACTCTACTCTACACACCAAAGGAAAAAAAAACACATATATGCAACAGCAGAACTTATCCAGCTTCCTACCCAAATATATAGAGAAACAGCAAGGTCTTCAGTGCCTTGCAAAAGGCTAGCAAGAGTTGGAGTCGTCAGCATCTCCAGAAGGATGCTGTCCAATAGGCCAGGCTCTGACACCAGGAAGGCACTATTCCCGATCCAACAAGATGACATTGTTTGATTGACACACCCTCTCTACAAGATCCAGTGGGTGATCAGAGACAAATGGGAGAAAAGTAGTCCCACAGGTAGTCTGGCCCTATCCTATGTAGGTCTTCTAAGATTCTAGTCATTATCTTAAATTGCACTCAGAAGCCTAGTCCTGGAGTAGCGGGGTAATATGGGTACCAAAAACTGCCTGTTCCACTGCATTCTGGGTCAGGAAAATGTTGGACCAGGTGACCTGGTTGGGTTAATAGCATTGTTTCTGGCTTGAAAAAAGGAATTGCCAACAACTAAGTGGCCCTGACAAGATTTTCCAAAGTCCTTATTAACAAAAGAGGAAAAGTTGATAAGTCACTTAAAAGTGTAAGACTATTGCTCTGACTAAGGAAAGTAATGTCCTAGCAAGAGGCACAGAAGACTAGGAACATCGACGTATGGATTTATCCTTTCCACATCTGTCACTATTTCATTGAGACTCCTCAACAATGTAAATGAGTAAGTTATATTTAAGTCCTTTTAATATTCTTTTAATATTACAACTGCTGCATACTAAATTGTTATGCTGTATATACAGAAGGTCAGGGAAGGGATTAGTGAGGACATCCCACACCCCGCTTCTTTTCAAACTGCCATTTTTTTCCCAACAAGATATGCCAGAAGATTCCTAGTGTATAAGGACATCAGATTTGCTATAGTATAGGAGGAAACTGTTGCCTGTAATCAGTGCTTGTTAGCTTACCCATAGTATTACAGTTGCACAAATTGAGCCACTTTGGGAACACAATTTAAAGGACAGGAACCAATCACCTAATACAGACATGTCAAACACAAGGCCCGCAGGCCGGATGTGGCCCGTGATGTGGTTTCATGTGGCCTGTGAAGCCATCCTAGAAACAGTGAGGGAACGGCCCCCGCTGCCTTGGCCCTGGCCCAGGCCGCCCAGAAGCCAATGTACAATTTTGTGGTGGCCATCTATGCTGAAATGTGTTCATTCTTAGCTCCACAAGGCCATCTGGAAACAAGGGACCAGCCCCTTCCGCGTCAGCCCTGCCCCCTGGGCGCATGCTGGGGAGGTGTCACCCTTTGTGAGGAATGAAGAAATGCACCATCGCCTGGAAGTGGCCAGCAAATGGCCCTCACCTACTTCACATATCTGGCTTGATGGGCTCCAGGGGAGAGATTTCAACAGGCAGTGAGGCGCTGTCCTCACAGCACCAAGAGGCTGAGCCAGGCCGTGCAAATCCAAAAAGAAGCGCGGCACTACTCAGCTCCCAGCCTGCCTGATTTTGGCAAGCAGTCGGGTGCTCTCCTCACAGCACCGAGAGGCTGAGCCAGGCGGCGCAAATTCAAAAAGAAGCGCGTTGCTGCTCAGCCCCCAGCCTGCCCGATTTCAGCAGGCAGCAAGGTACACAGCTGGCAAGCTTCGCACTGCCCAGCTCAGCCTCTCGACGCTGTGAAGAGAGCGCTCCCCTGCCTGCTGAAACCATATGACGTTACAGGCACCCTTGACGCAAACGATGTAGAGCTAGCCATGCCCACCCAGTAGGCCACACCCACTCCAGCCATGTCCACCCAAGAGGACACGTCCACCCAGTAGGCCACACCCACTCCAGCCACGCCCGCCCAGCCCCCAAGGGCAACCACAATGCTATTACGGCCCTCAATGAAATTGAGTTTGACACCCCTAACCTAATACATTGGTGGCATGCTGTTATAGCATCACAGATGGTGGCATGCTGTTATAGCATCACAGATTCTGATTTACATTAACTCTTCCAAAGAATTCACTGGAGACTAAAGTAATTTCTTCCTTTCCCCAATTCTATTATATAGCCACAATTAAAAAATAATAATCTGCAGCCAATTACAATGAAACTGCATCAATAAATAATCTATAAATCAAGATTAACGAAGACTATCCAGACTAGATTTTCAAAAAAGATGGTGATGGTGCCAATGATAATTGAAGCAGAAATGCAATTGAAATTATATATGCACAGACAGTAAATAACTCCCCCTTGCTGTGGTTCAAATAAAAAATAAAAATGGCAGCAATATAAGGTTTCTTCTCCACCTATCACAATCCTTCTTCCAATATTAGTGGCTATTGTTTTAAAGGGGGAAAAACCAGACTTATTAATATTATGTATGTAATAGATACAGAAGCGCACAGCTTAAAGACCCAGGGTCGCATACATCCCACAAAAGCCTTGAATTGCAGCCCCCAAAGATCTCCAGAAATAATTACCACTGACACTTTCATTTTTAATGGGTCAGAGAGAGGAAATTAATTTCATGACTAGACAATATTCTAAAATTATTTAAGGCATCATACTAGAAACCAGGAGACCATGAATTCTAGTCCCACCTTAAGCACAAAGCCAGCTGGAAGACCCTGGGCCAGTCACTATCTCTCAGCCCTAGAAAGGAGGCAATGGCAAACTTCAAAACCTTGCCAAGGAAACTGCAGAGATTTTCCCAGTCTCCAATAATTCAGACATGATTAAATGGAAGAAAACAAAACAAAACAAAAAACAAATGTACTTTTTGTCTTGTTCTATCCAGTATTGGGAGTAGCCATTTTTCCCTCGCTGAAAATTATTCAATAATTAAATGCACCCCTAAACTGTGAATTCTGTTATTGTGAATGAATCACTTCATCTCTCCCATAAGCAAACATCTGCATTTCAAACAAAAAATAAACACTCAAAAAGAGCTAAGAAGAACAAAACAGTTTTCCTCTCAAAACTCTTCCAGATAACCACCCTCAAAATTCCAGACATCCAAACTGACATTCAAAGGAAATTCAATTCAATTCTACTTCTACAATTTAAGATATTAGGACAATGTGGGATTCAAAGGAGGTGCATTAACAGGGCTGAGCCAAAACTAAACAAATTATATTGTGGCTTAGTGCAATACCTGAATCCGATTAATATCCTATAGAAGTTGATTTCAAGTATTATTTCTCCCTCCTTTCCTCTGCCCTCCTTGACCCATCACACTATTAGCAAGTTGGAGGTCAAACTGGTTTATTCTGATCTTACTTTAGGTGTTACTAGAAACTTTTCCATTCTTCCTAAAGTGTTTCAAGTTGAGTACTAAGCAAGAATGAGGTCATTCAAGGTTGGAACTTTGTCAGAATGATTAAAACAGCACCATAATGCTATTCATATTCTGAACTCAGAACAAAGCATGTTAAACTTGAAAAGGAGAACATTAGTAAACAATTTAATTATATTTTCTCCACCAAAACACATTTCATGTCTGTACACATTAGATTACCTTATGGCACTAGGGCAGTGATGGCGAACCTTTTAGAGACCGAGTGCCCAAACTGCAACCTAAAACCCACTTATGTATTGTCGGGTGCCAGGTGGGTGTGGCCATTGGGTGGGCATGGTCCATTGGGTGGACGTGGCTGCAGTGGTAACGGCAGACTGGGTGGGACTAAAAAGTTCAATCAATCAATTCCAACTTTGCAAGTTCTTTTTTTTTTCCACGAGAAGTTGAAATTGACTGATTGATTGAACTTTTTTTTTTGCACATGGTGGCGGAGGCCTAAAGCGAAAAGGTTTTATAAAACCCAGCCGAAGGCCTAGGACTGGGGTGATGGAGGCTCTGAGTGCCGCCTCTGGCACCCGTGCCATAGGTTCACCACCACTGCACTAGGGCATGGTTTGTTTTAAATATAATTGATAGAACACGTGATAGTACCTAGTTTAGAAAAAGTGGGTTTATGGATTACATTAAATCAAAATTACACAAACCACATTGTTTTAATGCAGTGTATGACTTTGGGCCAGTAACTCTGTGTCGACCCACTTCACAGGATTGTTGTTGTGGGGAAAAGAAGGAGGAAGAAGGAATATTAGGTGTGTTCACCGCCTTGAGTTATTCACAAAAATAATATATGATCTAGCATGGGAGAAGTTGCAAGAAGTTATGTATGGAAAAGCCCAAACATGAATAGAAAGCTGTAACAAAATGAGACTTAGAGCTGAGCAAAATGTGGGGCTATGAACTACTGTATGACTGTGCAGAAGAGAAAGCGTTGAAGGCAAAGGATTGTGATCTACAGATGAAAACCTGAATATGATTGTTACATCTAAGTCTGTTTTCAACTGATAATGACCTCTGACTGCTGTGTTGTGACATGGACAATTTCACTGCAGTGATCTAAGTTAAGGGTTTGGGGTTTTTTTTTTTTTTTGGTTTTTTTTGCAGATGGGGTTGCAGGTTTCTGAGTAAAAGTTTAGGCACAACTGATTTTTTTCTTCTTCTGAGGAACGAAAGAGAGATGGGTTGGCTTCTTCTCCTGATTTTGTCACTACTCACTGGAATTATAGTTTCTTGGAGCTGGTTATATGAGGAAGAAAAATTGCTGTTGTGTTGCACTAATCCAGTGCTTCTCAAATAGTGGGGCGCGCCCCCCAGGGGGGGCGCGAGGCTCCGTAAAGGGGGGCTCGTTTGACCTCAGCAAATACTGTCATATTGGATTTCTAGATCGGATCATCCGACTCACTCGCAAGCGGCAGCCCGACGCGGAGGACAACATGACCGCCAACGCACGTGACACATGCAAAGGACCCGATTGGATAGACATGATGCTCTATCCTGATTGGCCAAACCCGCCTATGTGACTTTTAGACCCGGAAATCGGTCCTCTGTACAGAAAAAAATTTTTTACAGTCGCGCGGGGGGCGCGAAATGTTTTCTTCTTCCTAGGGGGGCATGACAGAAAATAATTGAGAAGCACTGCACTAACCTTTGCTCCTCTTTTTATGTGTTAGAAGACACCATCATGAACACATGCGAGCTCATCTTTTAAGACTCTGACATAATAAAGTAGAATTTCACCTAGGTGAATTTGGGAAGTTCTGATGACTAATCCTGTTTAGCATGATCAAACAAACCTTAAATGGTATTACCTTTGAGAACAGAAATGTGCTGTCGGCTCTCCCCATCTGTAGAGTAATTCCTGAATTCAATATCTTCTCCATCTTTTAATTCAACCTTATCATAACCATACCAGCCAAGGAGCTCATTCATAGTGTTTTCTGCAAAATTCTGTAAGAGAAGAATTACCTACTTATTTATGCAATCAATAATCATTTAGAACCAAAAGATGAATACATAAATCAAAATCTATTTGCACTGTACCGTGAAATAGCAGCTTTGTCCCACCTACTCTAGACTAATGTTCATTTATCAACTCACATACATAGAATGTAAAGCATTTAAATCTTTGAATGACATATGTAATTACGACAGGTCTGCATGAATTTGTAATTTAAAGAAAAATATGAGAGGGTAGAGAGCTATTTATCATTCTTTGCACATGAATTGATAGTCAGCAATATATTTAACACATATTTTTCATAAAACTTTATATTCTGTGCTTCTATAAAGTGTTTAAAGAACACCAGGAAAGCAATAGAAGAACTGGAATTGTTTCTCAGGCACTAGTCAATCAATCTTACTAGATTGCAGCAATTCAAATTAATATACAGGCCACCACTTCGAGCAAAGATTCATTTAAACCAGATCTGATAAAATAAGAAATGCAGATAATTATAGAAAATAATGCATATATATTTCAGGTTGTGTTAGAAACCATCAATTCCCATTCTCATATATTGTTCTTCCTGAGTAGTCTCAGCTATTTCTTTTCTGTTTGGCAAACATCATGGGGCTCTGTGTTGCCAGCTTGTCTTTCTTTTTTACAAAACTTTTTTTAATCTTTCCCACTTCCACCCTAACTATAAATAGTTTCTTTATTCAGTAAACTAATATACTGTTTTCTTTCCACTTGGACAAAGGCACTTTCCCACTTTCTTCCCACCTGCAATTGGCAATTAACACAGATCTTTCAACACTGAAATGGTACGATCATGAAATCATGGCCTAATTAGTAATTAGAAAATTGAGCCCTGTGGCACCCCAGAAAGCAGGAGCCTTGGGCTGAACCTCTCCCTCTTCTACCAACTCTAAATCAAAGAAAAAAAAGCCATACTTTTCTGCTGAAATATATTATCAATCAACAACTTGGTAGTTTCTGGTGCAGATTGAAGATCCTTACCAGAAATAAAGTGAATAATTTTTGCAAACAAATCTACCACTACCAAAATATCAATCAAACTCTCAATGCCCAGTAATAACATTCAAAGAGACAGCTAGTCCCAAGATCTTTTCAAAGAGGAAATTCAGTGTAAAAAGTCAGTTGGCTTAGGTAAAAATCTGGCATAATGGCAGATATGACAAAAGGAAACATGTCTTTATAATTTCTTTGATGAGAGTAAGGCTACCAAAAATCCCAAAGTAAAATGTATTTAGTTTTGAACTGCCAGGATGTCCTACACTTTATTTTTTAGGATAAGATAAGATAACCTTTATTGTCATTTTTATACTGTGGGCACAATGGCACACATCAAAAATGAAATTTAGTTGCCTGCTCTCAAAGTGAAACACATACATGACACACACCTAAACATACTACGTACAACATATGTATAGACCCACATCCCTACATATACGTAGCGAATAAATGTTAAATATTGTCCATCTTGAATATATAACGGAAGGAGGAAGCTTGAGAGTTCGCAAGGTTAATGCTGTATGGAATGAAACTCTGGCTGAATCTGTATGTTCTGCTTCGGATACCACGAAGCCTCCTCCCAGAAGGTAACAAGGAAAACAGGTTGTGAAGAGGATGTGTAGTGTCCCAGATAATCTTACGGACCCTGCTCAAGCAATGCTTCTGTGCTATGTCACGAAAGTACAGATACTGCACAGAGGAGTGATTCCTTATTTCAAGAAAAGGCGAAGGAATTATCAGGAGTTATCCTAATATTTATTTAGCTGAGCCCATACGGGTCTTTTTCCTTTTGCAAGTACACTTATTCATTAAGGTCAGGAATGTGCCCCCCACTCCCAAGGTCTTAGTAATCAAAATTAGTTTGCGTTTGCATGAGAGAAGCAAAACTGTTCAGATTTAAGATTCTGGCTATTCCAAATTCTAATCTATAGCTATTCCAAATTCCAAAAATGTCTTCAATGCTGGAAGCATCCCTTTTTGGCCAAGAGCTCCTTTTTTAAAAAAAATACCATAGTTCCATTCAGCAAGTAAAAAAATTCTGGAATAAAAGACATAGTGTCCTAGATCTTTCCCTCTACCAGCAGTACCCTGTAGAATAAATGCTTGTAATGCAAAGTCCAAGGTATTTGTTTGTATCATAGAAGGACAATTGAAGACTACACTGCACAGCAGGACCTGGGAGGTGAAAGCTACAGTATTTCAAATCCTGGAGTCTGAAGTGTCCATGTAAATTGAATCCATTTCTTTATAAGCTGATTAAGAAATCTGGTGAGTTCTGCACAATCAGATATAAATTGCTTGTAAAAGCTATAAATTCCCCCAAAACATGTCTATAGAGATTCTCAGTCATCCAGATCATGGCTGTCATAATGGTGCTTTTCAAAAGGCAACTGAATTTTCTTTGTTTTTCCTTGAAGACATTTCACTTCTCATCCAAGAATCTTCTTTAGTTCTTCAGTTCTGAACTGAAGAAGCTTCTTGGATGAGAATCAAATGTCTTTAAGGAAAAATAAAGGTGCCTTTTGAAAAAGTACCTTTGGAACTCCCAAAACATGGCAGATTTTTGGCATTCCCTGTGCCTTGCCAGGACAAGGTAGAAAACACTTTCATATAGCCCATTTACCGTAAATGCTTTCTGAAGGAATTCTATAGCCCAACTAGTCCAATGTAAGGTGAAGAAAAGCACATTTCTCCAACTTGATATTATAGCTTGCATATGCAAAGTAATTCAGAACATTCCTATATGTTCAGTATGGGCCACCAAAATGTCTGAAAAAAATTAAAATATAAATATAAAATAAAATAAAATATAAAATTCAGATGTCTGAAAATACTTCAGTCAATGAATGTCATAAAACTAAAGGACAATTCAAAAGGTCAAAAGACATCACTATGTACTTAAACCTTTTATAATGCATATCAAAATCAAATTGTAAATCTCTCTCAACACCGGTTTAATTAAAAATGCTCACCTACTGTAATAGTTCCAGGAAACCAGATACAAATGGAAGTTGGCACTGATCTGTAACAATTACAGAGTTCAAAAACTCTGACACATTCAGAGTGCCATCTTTTTTCTCGAGGAAAAAAAACTAAGAAAAGGAAGTAGAGGAGGAAGATTTCTGAACTCTTTTTATAGATTGTCATTAATATTTCCCTTTAAACAAATCAATTCTATTTTGCAGGAATCTAACCTCTAGGAACCAAGGGATAGTATAATCACAGTAATAATGAGGAAGCAATATATGTGTCACTTTCTTTCAAAAAACACCAATGAAGATGGAGTATTTTTCTAATAAATCAAAAGGAATAGCTTTTGAATAGTGGTAATTTGAATGACAAAATTTTAAGTGCTTGCAAATAGTGTCAAGTGTCAATAATGTCTACCCACTAGGTAGAATTGACCAAGAAATCAATTCTACAGGAAAGCTAAAAGTATTTTTATTGAAATTGGTTATAACAACAGACCCTTGCCAATTTAATTGTGAGGTCTCCCCTCATCCTTCTTACAGTTCAATTAATTAGGGAGGTATCTGTCTCTGCCACTTCCAAATACTATATTGTTGTGGATTTTAAAATGTTTCAGCCCTTTTGTCTATGTAACAGTTCCCACATATCTCCATCAAGGTTATCTTCCTTGCTCTCTACAAATTGTGACCTTGAGCCATCTGGTCCATTTCACTGGTCCACTATGATCCCAGCAAATGACAGAATTATGGATTTGTAGCTAGTCTACCCCATGAAGAGGAGCTTAAACAAAATGCAGTGTTTCTAGATGCTCTTCAATGATGAAATGAAGAGAAGCAGTAAAACAGAGATTGTCTTCCATCTGTGGTTTCAATGTGTACTGGTATACTGAATATTCTATTGTCTGATATTCATGGTACATCATCTTATCAATAAAATCAGTCATCTCTCCTGTTTCCAATACAGGCAGTACTCAACTTACATTTGTTTAGTGACAATTCAATATGAACTTAATATCATTTTTCATTCTTATGACCATTGCAGCATCACATGATCAGAATTCAGACGCTTGACAATTGGCATGTATTTATGATGGTATCAGTGTCCCAGGGTCATGTCATGACCTTTTGCAACTTTCTGCCAAGCAGCGTCTATGTGGAAACCTGATTCACTTAACAACCGTATTACCAACAATTGCAGTGATTCACTTAAGAACTGTGGCAGGAAAGATCATAAAATGGAGGCAAAACTCACTTAACAACTGTCTATCTTAGCAACAAAGATTTTGGGCTCAATGGTGGTCATAAGTCCAGGACTACTTATAATGCAAAAAGTTATATAATAGACCCAACCTGAAAGCACAGAATAATAGGATGTATAAAACAGACTGTTGCTTTTTTCCATCTTAGGTCCTGGTAGCCTAAGGCCTCCACCTGTTCTAAAGTCTTGAAAGGGAAAATGTCTTTGTCTGCTGAACTCTTAGCTGGAGGCAATTTGGACTTTTATTAACAACATAATTTTTGATTCTGCAGATAAAAACATCATAGTCATTTTTTGTAATAATTTTATTAAGAGTTTACAAATACAAAGATAAAAGATTGATACAAACTAAGAAAAATATAAAAAACAAAGGAAAGAAAAAGATAAGTAAACAGCAATAGGAAAAAATAAGGTAAAAAGATATATAAAAGATGACTGCTCCCCTCCCTCCAGGCAACAATGAATAATTTCCATAACTTAACACCTTCTCCAATATTTTAATAAGAAAAAAGATACATTCTTCCCATACATCATCCTTTATAAAAAATTAAATTATAAAACTTTCATTTACTTCTAATCTGCAAAGGTCTATTAGGAGCTGGCAGAAATAGTAACATATTATATTTTTACATTGATCTAATAAATCAATTCTGTATTCCAACTTATCATTATTTTCTAAGAAATCAAACAAAAGAAATCTGTCCCCATTTATAAATATATTTGAAGCCTCATTGTTCAGTCCTGG